AAAGCTGACATAAACAACTACCGTCCTATAACAGTGACATCAGTGGTCTACAGGCTGGCGATGCAGATTATAAGGGAAAGACTGCAGGCATCGATAGAGGATGAGGGGGTGCTGAGGGAACTGCAGAATGGGTTTGAGAAACACAGGAGGTTGGAAGACAATCTGTTCTCTCTGACGCGGTGCATCGAAATAGCAGAAAAGGAACACAGGCCCCTGTGGCTAGCATTTTTGGATATCAAGGGAGCGTACGATAGCGTGGTTCAAGAGGAATTGTGGGGAATACTGGACACACTAGGCGTGGAACATGTAGTCACTAATCTTTTAAAGGGTATCTATAAAGGTAACAAGGTAGTTATAAAGTGGGAAAAACAGGTATCCAAGCCTGCAGAGGTAAAACGGGGGCTTAGGCAGCGGTGCCCCCTGTCACCCTTATTATTCATGATGTACCTACAAGGATTAGAGGCCAAATTAGAGGGAAGTGGACTGGGCTTCAACCTCTCTTTAGTCAAACAAGGAAAACTTATTGATCAGGCACTACCAGCATTAATGTACGCAGATGATATAGTGCTAATGGCCAACAACAAGGAAGATTTGCAGAGATTGATGGACATCTGCGGTAATGAGGGAGATAGGTTAGATTTTAGATTCAGAAAGGAAAAATCAGCAGTCATGATTTTCAATGACAACAAAGGTAGTGAGCTTAGAATATAGGAGGTCACACTAGAGATAACAGATAAATACAAATATCTGGGCGTATGGATAAGCAATGGGACCAAGTATCTGAGGGAACACGAAATATACGGGACGACTAAAGGTAACAGGAATGCAGCAGTCATGAAAAATAGGGCACTGTGGAATTACAATAGGTATGATGTTGTGAGAGGAATATGGAAAGAAGTCATGGTTCCTGGGCTGACGTTCGGCAATGCGGTCTTGTGCATGAGATCAGAAGTTCAAGCATGATCAGAAATTAAGCAACGTGGAATAGGTAGGCTTGCTTTAGGAGCTCACGGGAATACACCAAATCAGGGAGTACAAGGTGATATAGGATGGACATCATTTGAGGGCAGGGAAGCTAGCAGCAAGATAAAATTTGAGAAGCGATTGAGAGAAATGGGGGAGGAGCATTAGGCTAGGAAGGTTTTCAGCTACTTGTACATGAAGAATGTCGATACAAAATGGAGGAAGCGAACCAGGAAGTTGACTGGTAAATACTTAGAAAACAGCAGGTGTCTAAACCAAAAAGAACTATCGGTTAAGAAGAAAGTGAAGGAAACGGAGACCGACATGTCGGAGAATGGGCATGATTAAGAAGTCGGCACTAGAGATCTATTGAACTTTTAAGCAGGAAATTGCCAAGGAAAGGATCTATGATAATACTCAGGGTAGTTCTCTACTGTTTGAGGCCAGGACGGGAGTACTGCGAACCAAGACATATCGGGCCAAATACGAAGGGGTAGACACAGTATGCAGTGCGTGTGGAGAGGAAGAAGAAACTGCCGAACACTTGATAATGTTCTGTAAAGGGCTTCACCCTATAGTTCAGGATGATGGCACAGAGTTTTTCAAAGCACTGGGATTTAGGGACAGTGAGGCCAAAATAGACTTTAAGCGGGTAGACTTAACTAGAAGGAGGTTATCTGATTGGTGGCTAAAGTCAAGGCACGAGTGAAAATTAAACACTGCGAAGTACGAATCCTCACCTTCATTATTTAAAGGAAAAAAAAAAGATAAATGTAATGGTTAGTTCACTAAGTATTACGACTAGGTGGCGTTAGCTGCCGCCTGATCTAAAGGGTACAGCCACATCCATCCATCCATCCATCCATCCATCCATCCATCCATCCATCATCCATCCATCCATCCATCCATCCATCTGATGGCTAGAACGAACAGACGACATCATTGCGGAAATTTTCGGGGCTGCGATAATTACTCGAGGAAAAAGAAATCGTATGTTTGTTAGGCGATGTGAGGGGTGCAAGAATTAGCGAGTGCGAGGATTACTCGAGTAAATACAGTAGCTATCCTGAATCCTGAAGAGCTCGCGTGCCCCCCAAGAAAGCTACTGCGCGTCCTGCCAATCATGACCTGGCCTCCTATTTAAGTAAATTCTGTCTCATTGAAAACCACCCCACCTATGCACCTTATGCACCTCTCTGTTCATTTCCACTACCTCAAAGCCTTTCTCTCGAATTATCTTCCATATCTCTTTCTTTGCGTCAACAACCACTCTTTGCAGGATGCTGTCACGCACCGGTACCTCCGGTATCGTGCATATCAAGATTTGTACCTGAGAGGAAGTGGCGCGCATGTCGTCAACTCTTTTTGCCAGTGTGGTCGCTCCTAATGCTGAATCTTCATTCAAGACATTGTTTAGACCGCCCACAATCATCACGAAGTTTTGTCCATTAGCTTTAGTTCTGATTTTTCTGCTCGCTTGCATCATGACTGCTTTCAGCTTAAGTCCTAGGCGCCACTACTAAAACACCCCTACTAAACCCTTTTGTCTCCTCTTACCCTCTCTTTGATTGCTTCTGTGCATAGATTTAAATTCAAGTCCCGAGCGATTATCATGTGGTGTGACTTTTCTGCTAGAGTGTCCTGCCCCTGGAAGTTACTTGCACTTGTGACCCCGGCTGTTTTGTACCCTCCTACCCCCACCACTACTTCGCTGAAGCTGGGTCTTCTGACAATTGACCCGGCTGAACCTGTTTTTTCTAAATTTGTTTTCTCTTATTTCTCCGCCACTCTGGGTTCCAGTGCCCTACCGTTCTCTCCGTCGGCCACTCCTTTGTTCACCTCCGTTTGTACCTCATCGGCAGACCTAGACCTTTCTACCATAGCTCTCGTTTTTTCTTGCTCTGTCACCAACGCAGTTTCCAGCTTTGCATTTCTTATCAGCAGTTCACTCTGAGCAACCATCATTTCCCCTAACTTTTTCCTTGACCTCACATTGCCTACACTTGGCGTCAGCCTCCACTGCCTTCGCGTCCGCAGTATCCTCCATTCTCAGACCCACCCCGCACATTGAACATTTTCTAGTTTTTTTAACCATGCCTTCTTGATGCCAATTGTCCTGCTGAATTGTCCCACTCAAGAATTAGAAAATACGGCATACGACGAACCCTGCCCTAAGCAAAAGAAGTCTAAGCTCTACTACGAAAATTTGCGTGTTTGGCATACGTTACCCCTACCACGGGTGGCAGGAAGAAAAAAAGAAAACACACACACACAAACCAGTGAATACCTGGTGACTGACCCCCCCCCCCCCCCCCCAAAAGCTGTACAATGTAATAATTGCCATAAATGTTTACACTGCTACCTTAATAATTATAAAATTAAAACTTAAAATTAATTATAAAAAAGATCGATCGCATGAATACTTTGTGGCGCCACTGTTGGCAGAAACTTCAATTATCTTATGTGCCCTGTCATGTGAATAAACTAGTGTACGCGGTCAACAATTTTCCTGTTGATTGTGAAATGCTCATTGCTCATTTATAGAAAAAGATACTACTCCATAAAAATGTACATACAGGCTTGCATTTGCACTATGCACTAAAGTGACACTGCCTTCTCATGAACAGTGCTTCTTGAGCAATATTTCTACGTGCTTAAGAAACTGGGCACACAGTTTCCGGGTCGCTAAGATCTCGGAGCGACGTGGTTTTCTATACACAATTTGTCTGAAAAATGACCTGTACTGCTAGTCGGCACTGCTGTGCATATGCGCAATGACGTTTTCGATCCCTTGGCTTGGCTCCTGTGTCAAGAGAACTACAACGATGGGACAAGCCATCCACGACACAGGCGCAACAACCTTGGGCGCAAACGCACGCAACGCAGGTACAAATACAGAGGAGCTGTATAAAGCCACATTGTCTCATTGTAACGGTTTCTTATTTTCAAGAACAGTTCTAAAGCTCGGAATAAACGTGGTTAAGCATAGTTGCATGATCTCCTTCGAAAGCAGAACAACGAAAAAATGCACAAGTCGCCGGAAAGGCTACCAGCATCGCTATCAATTCTCAGTGTTGCCTAATCAAAGGGCTTCAGACTGCTTATAAAATGACTACGTGCTTTTAGGATTAACTATGGCAGCTGCAAACACCACGAAGCGTAAGCTTTTGGTCGCTCTGGAAAAAACTGGGAGGAAAAAAAAATCAGTTCCTTCAACGACGCCCACGCTTCGCTTCTACTGTGCTGACCCACAGCTCCGGGTTCCCCTTAGGCCCCCCGAGCTCTGAGCCCGTCGCGCTTTCTTGGCTTTCTAGTGTATTAATGCTGCTGAGCAGTAAAGAACATATAGTAGAACGGTAACGAAGAGTGTTCACTGAGTGAAGTTTCAGCAAACTTTCAGCAAAGAGAAAAGAAGCGTGCCAAACGTGAGCGCTGTACACAGGCGGTCACCTATCGAACTAGAACATGCTACGCCAAGTGCGGCGGTGCAGCAGCGGCGCGCCGCTTGGTTGATTGATTGATTGATTGATATGTGGGGTTTAACGTCCCAAAACCACCATATGATTGTGAAAGACGCCGTAGTGGAGGGCTCCGGAAATTTCGACCACCTGGGGTTCTTCAGCGTGCACCGGAATCTGAGCACACGGGCCTACAACATTTCCGCCTCCATCGGAAATGCAGCCTGCCGCAGCCGGGATTCGAACCCGCGACCTGCGGGTCAGCAACCGAGTACCTTAGCCACTAGACCACCGCGGCGGGGCGCAGCGCCGCTTGGGTGACTCGCGGGTGGAAGTGCAGCTGCGAAAGAACACAGCCGCCTCCTAGCAGGAGCAATGAGGTCTACCGTACACACCACTGACAATGAAGGCAGAAAAAGCTTGACAAGTAAACTAAATGAAAGGGGCGAGGGGACTTCTATTGAAAATAAAAAAGAACGCTTTACTAAAAATGAAGAACGCAAGAAGCGTGCAAAGACTTGAAACAGTTCAGAGTAAGTAAAGAAAAGAAGTCATAATGTAAGTGATGATGTCACTCACTGCTTTGCACATATTGTACATGGCCAGCAGGTGGTGCTCATTGCTAACAAACCCAGGCGTGTCCACTGTGACAAAATTATGCAGTGCTGGCATCATGTCTGCAAGAGAGAACAGGGAAACCACAGCTCAGACCACTCGTCACAGAACTGATACGCATGCCACCTATTGCACAGTACAGTGATGAAAGTATCCTTTTTACTTTTTTGGAGCATACTTTGGAGCAGGGAAAGCACTGCTTTGGATCGGCTACAAGTGTTTTAGAAGCAGAAAAAAAAATATCTAGTTTACAGCACCCATTGATACTTTGAGAGCACATATTAAATTTGACATACATTAGTAATTGGAGTTCAGAGCATTGTCAAAGCATCTCGCAAATATTCATACTTCTTATTAAATATATTCAACAGACAACTATCAATGTAAATTTCATGTAGGAAACAATGGCCGGTTGATAAAATGTACTGTGAAATGAGCTATATTTTAAAATACTAGTACTTATGGCAGAAATCAAAACTGGAAAAACTGAGTGACACAATTTTGAAGTAACCACTGCCTCATTGAACTGTTGCCTAATAAGTAGTAAATCATCGGTTTGAGATACAAGCAATACTGCTCATTTTAACATTTCACCTTACAAGCCTGCATGTCTGGCTGAGGAAAAAAAACAAAAAACAAAAAAAACAGCCAAACGAGCTATATGATATCAATATGCCAGTTCTTGTAGCTCAAATGAGATCTGAGCCAATAATGCTATACACTGGCAGCACACTGGTATGGTAGTACATATGTGCTTTTCAGTTTATTTAGGACCTATACGTCAGTCACACAGTAAATGTTCGTCATCCTGATTATCTCAATGTTGTTTCGGAGCTGTTTGGAGCAAAGTGCATTATGGAGCAGCCAAAAATGCGCTTTAGAGCGGGAAGAGAGACTTTTGGTACAACCAAAAATGCATTTTTGAGCAGGTTAAGGTTAACCGCCATGTAGAATACTAACCGTGTGAAGCAAAGCAGTGAACTGAGGAGGAACGCTTTTAAATTAAGGAGTTCTGTGCAATAATGGATGTTTGGAGCTGTTTGTATAACGTTATAGAATATTAACACAACCTAATTTTAAACCTTGCAGTGCGTTTTTAATACGGGATACAATCAACTATGAATTGGTGCTGCATTCTGGCCAACGAAATAATGTACGCAGAAAACAAATAAATCACTATGAAACTTTTTATTGAAGACTAGCAACACTGCTTTATTTATTTTTTAATTGCAGAAAAGCTTTTGTCTTGTTGGTTGTCTTCTTGCATGACACCTTGTCAAGGTCTGCAGAGTCGTGTTTTTCCTTCACCAAGCAAGGACTGGCACTACAGATGTGCTCGAATCTCGATCCAGTACGTGGTGTGAGCACGGCGGTCGCCCGAAGAGGTTCAGTTTTTAGGCGTTGCAGAAACAGTAATCTATGAGGCTTCCATTGTCAAGGAACATCCATAGACGCTCACGGCGATACCAAGCATGGCTCCAAGCAGATCTAAATTGCATCACAAAAGCTTATTGCAGCCCTCCATATGACCCTGAAGTGCGCGGCCGCATGGACAGTGCAGCCGATGCGTGATGCACTTAGGGGCGACATTCGGTGACGATGCGTGAAATGTGTAGGTATGATAACGAAAAAATTAGCACGCACTGCGCTTAGTATCGCAATTTCCAGTGCCAACACATGAAACTGCTAGCCGCTGTTCCAAGCAATCATGGCAGTATAGGGGGGGGGGGGGGGGGGGGTGACGAGCTGCTAGCGAGTGATGTGCTTTGTTGCCTGCGAAGAAACACGTTACTACAAGTGGGCGTCTTTCTCGCCCGCAAAATTCGTCGCGCCAGCGAAGTTAGGCCTAAAGATGACTCGGGGGACGAGCTGTGCTCGTAGACGGTGCGCCGGCTCTTAGTACCGTAATTACTCGAATATAACGAGCACCTTTTTTTCGGTTTAAGGGTTCATGAATCGCTTGCGTGTTAGCATTGAGTACGGAAAAAAAAATAAATACAATCATTCTATTGCTATCGGCACTTCAAAAATGGCCGCCTCCTATGCGCGTCGGCATGGCATGTCAGACATTTCTGCCATTGTGTTTCCCGTGTGCAGCACTTCATACGTGTGCTGAGGAGTTAGTCATCTTGTAAAGCCCTAATATCGACGACATAGAAGGGCAGACTCCAAAGACTCGACGAGTACACCACCGATGCCGCTTTTAAAAGAGAAGTCATTGTGTGAGCAAAAACGAACGGAAATCGAGCCGTATCGTGGTCGTTCGGAGCACCCGAAACGTGCGTGCGGGACTGGCAGAAACAAAAGCAGAATATTGTTGACAGCAAAGCTTCACATGAATGCTCCAGTGGACCCCAGCAGGGTCGGTTTCTGGAAATTGAAGAGCTGCTCGTCGAGTATGTGCTTGAGCAGCGAGCGGCACAGCGGCCCGTGACGACAGAACTGCTCCAAGTGCGGGCTATGCAGTTAGCCTTAGAAAAAGGGCTAACGTGGAGCCAGTTCAAAGCGAGCAGGTGCCGGCTAACTAACTTTATGAAGGCTTTTCCTCTGAAGGCGAAGGGGCATATGCCAAAAGTTGTCGGAGGAGTACGAAGAAAAGCTTCACAGTTTTCAGAGGTTCATCCTAAAATTGCAGCACAACAATGGCTACCTGCTTGGGCAAATCGGGAAGGCCGATCAAACGCCTCTTTACTTTGACATGCCCTAACACCACAACTGTCGTGCAGGCCAACGAACTTTGTGTTTTATCTTTCTAAATTTCAGTGCATCAAAACCCAAATACTTGCTCTCAATGAGCGAAGGTTAACTCCTACGAACTTTTTTTTTTCTTTTCTTTTCCGTCGCAAAAAATGGGTGCGCGTTACAATCGATGTTTTACTTTTTTTTTTCGTTGTGGAAACCGGGTGCGCATTACAATCGAGGGCGCGGTAGAATCGAGTAAATACGGTAATCTGATCGGACATCCGCTTACAGTTCCTAACTAAAGCGTAATTATATTTTAAGCAATCGTCGAGCCGTAAACATGTCACAAAGTAGCAATTTTCGACAGCCATGTCCTCGAGACGCACAAGCAGCAGACTACGATCTGCCGGAGCCCGCATCATGTAAATGGCAAGGCGAGCTGGGGCAACATGGCAGCAACAGCCAATAAGGGCCTCGAAATGACCTTCAAACATTTGCTTTTTGAGAGCTTGTTTTTAAAAGAAGAAGCCAGCTTAGACGAGAAATTTGAACATGGAGAAATACTGTGGGAATCGAGTATACCCATCCTCTTCATCTGTACATTATCATTATTATGATGTGTTGCTCATACATCCTCATCGTTGTCGCGTAGCATCATCATCTCGATTCGTTCATCGTAGCTGTCGGCTGCCGGTTTCTCGGGCCTAATAAAGGTCTTCCAAACCAAGACACAGCACCCTCCAAGGGGTGGAGGGTGCTGTTAGACCTCCCGTCGTCCTCTCGACCACTTTACCCCCTGGAGCTACTTTCAGGTCGCCGCTTGGGCCAGGTGTCCAGAAATATGTCGCACCAAGATGAGGTCGGTGCTGCAGCCGTTCCCACTCCGCCACCGCGTGCCGCACCTTCTCACGTCAACAGCCTCCAGCGTGAGCCCCATCCCTTCGCTAGTATGCGCAGGGAAGATGGGGAGGAATGGCTGGACGATTTCGAACGTGTCGGCGCTGCTAACCGGTGGGATAACACCTACAAACTCGCTCACGTCTCATTCTACCTCACGGGTGTCGGCACCTCGAAGAACTTGAGTCCATGCGCTTACAGCTGGAGAGTGACGCGGCCCGTATTACGGCGGATCCAAACCTACGAGACACGACAAGGGGGATTATACGCGAAGAATCAGAATCAATGGGATTAACACTACCTTCAGTGTGTCCCATTCAGTCTTCTTCAACGACATTGCGGGATGTCATCAGGGAGGAGCTCACGTCCATGACCCACATGGCCCACCTGCAGCCCACTGTTGCTCGTACTCTCTCATTGTTCTCGCATGCCGCCGACGCGCCATCAGGCACCGTCAGCTCTACGCCACTGCCAGGAACGTACGCGTCGGTTGCTGCCACACCTCCCACGATCTTTCCATCACCACCGCCTGAGCCGTCATCTGTCCCTCTCACTGCTCTCTCTCCCGATGCAGTTAGCGCAAGCTAATACCCTCCTTATTGATTCGACTTGCCCTACGTGCTATTATTGCGGCTATTGTGGTCACATTTCACGCTTTTGCCGCAAGCGCAAGCAAGACGAGCGTCGAGGGTATGACATACGTGAACAGGACTATACCGCAGGAGCCTTGTACCAGGGCCGCCGTTATTTGTCACCGCTGCGTCGGTCTCCGTTTCCGCCAGCATCGCGTGAACTGCGCAGTAGTCATCGACCAACCCGACGTCGTTCACCGTCGCCCTACCGTCGCTCCTCTTCTTCTTTTCAGCCTGCTTCCCTCACTTCTGATCGGCATCCGGAAAACTAAGCGATGCAGTTTTTGGAGGACAAACTGCATTCCAACACAGGACTCAAATTCCTCCAGCGTGCCCTTACGATATAATTTCAGTCACAGTTGAGGGAGTCGACGTTGATGCTTTGGTGGACACTGGGGCTGCGTTTTCTGTTACAGCAGAAGCTCGTTAATTCGAATTGCAAGGGGAAGCCGCCTCAGTTCGAATCAACGAAAGTGAAGAACAACAATAGTACACTGCGGGTAGGGCATAACAATTTATTTTTTGAAAAAATCTGTGATCGTGGTCTGCCTTCTTTTCTTGAAGGCGACAGCCATCACTTTTTGCTCTAACGAGCGAATTTGGCCGAAGGCCTCCTCTCCGCCTTCTTCAAAACTTAAGACGGGCGGCATTCAATCCGGCCACAACTTCCGCAGCAGAGGGCCGCACTGGTGCTTCGTCTTCCTCCTCATCATCGTCACTGGCAGCGACAGGTTCTGCACTTCTCACCGGACATACTATGTCGCCATCCGTGAGTGCACCACACACCACTGCACTTAAGTCCACATCGACGTAGTCCGCAAAGCAGACGTCTTGCAAAACGTCCTGCCATG